TCCTTCTGATCTAAGATTCTAATAGAATCTTCTACAGCCTTTCATAGAAACACCAAAGAGATGAAGGGAAGAATAATTTTGGAGGCTTTTTTTTTAATGCCCCCTTTTAGACCAACAACAGTGACTGGAGGAATCACAGGAGAGCTCTGCAAAACCAGAATGGGAGCTGCTGTTCTGGAGTAAAGGACTACTTAAAATGGAAGGCCTGGGAAAAAAAAAGTAATTTCTGTGATCTCAGGCAGCATAAATTATAGAGAGAAGACATTTGATGAGTTCTATGCTAAGGATTAATTTGCCATTTAAAAATGCAGGGAACAGATGGATCTCTTGGCTAGGACTATATTTGGGAATTACTTCATTTTGCTGCCCACATGCAAATAAAAATACAACTAAAAGTAGAACTTTTTGTGAGCTTTCACATGGGTAGAAAACACTGAAGTAATGAAAATAAAACCAAAAAGAAAATGTCTGTATGAAATAGGTGAAGTGCCACAGTACCTGTTGTGGATCTGCAGTAGGTTGGGGGAGAGAATGTGATTTTACTTTGTTGAACAACTATGGAGAGTAATGCCAGACTTAAAGAGCAAATTTAAGAGAAAAAAAACTCCAAAACCAACCCAGCAAAATCTGTATCATATGACAGCGTTTGCCACTGAAGAGTAACTTCTGAGAAAGCACCTTGCTGTAACTTAATTCCATGGAATTTGTTAGGATTTAACGATTACATCTCCACACATGGTCAGAAGTCCAGGGATTCTCTTTCCCAAAAGCCTGGGCCAGTTCCATCGCACTCACCAGGGATCACAAAGCATGGGTGAGAACTTAATTTGTGAGAAAAACGCGTAAGTAGGGGAAAATGCAGAAGAAAATGCCTTACACCTCCCTGGACTGAGTACAGCCCTGGCCTCCACCCCGCATGGCAGCGGCTGGCGAAGGAGGAGCAGCGCGAGGCAATCCCGCTGGCACAGTGAAAGGACGGGATGGAAGAAAAGTCCTCTGAGGAATTCCCACAGGCAAAGCCTGTGTGCTTCCCTTACGGGAGCCAGTGCTTTCAAACCCCCAAACCATGGCAGCCACACGTACAGAGTAATTAAGCACCTTCCTTTTTTCCATGTGATTTCTCAGAGTTCAAGGGAAACTGCATATTAAAAAGCAAACCCAACATCAACTCCTGAGACAGCTGTTAGATACCATCTCTGTTTCTCCTCTAGCAACACAATAAGCGTTTCTTCTCCCTCTCTCCATCTCAAAAACAAACAAACAAACTGAAAATTTCACCCAGCAAAACCCCGACCTGTGCAGGACGTCCTCGGCGTATTCCCAGACTCCGGAACCAGGATAAGCACAGCTCCACGCGCGTTTGGAAAACGAAGAGGAATAGAAAATCTGTACTAACCCGACAGCTTCCTTTCTGTGACTATTCATCCTTCACAATCCAACAGGACACACCAGCCAGTAAACAAACATGGAAGGGAGGGACCAACTTCAAAGCAAGTGTGTAAATCTTACATAATTTGAGGGTTTGAGATCTTGCAGCAACCTCTTACCCAACGAGGTGTCAGATGATCCAAGGAGGTCAGACCTGTAGCAGCCACAGTAAGTAGGACACTCTGCATCTCACTCAGCCCAGCGCGGCACCGTTTGTCCACAGGGACCTGGGGCCGGGCATTCTTGGGAATTCACTTTCAGGAGGAGAACAGTGCCTTTCTTTCACGCGTTATCATGCCAGAATAGCTCTCTGCTCTCTAACGGATGAAAGATAATAAATACGTGAATGCCCTTAGAGCCGGGATCTGCTGGAGATGTGTCTCAATTATTCTTGATTTTTAAACTGTTTGATGAAGTTCTCACATTTTTGCCCAGGTATAAAACCGACGATTTCTGGACACCTGCAGACACAACACCCCACAACCATGGAAGAAATGAGGACACGGGCCTGGAAACCACTTCCCTCTCATAGAAAGGAATTCTCTAGAAGGTATTTTTCCTGCCATCCTGGATTTCCAAGTGTCTTCTAGCCAAAACCATCGCTTTGAGCTAAATAAAGTAACAAAGCACTGAAGCCCAGACATTCCTCAAAGAGAAGGAACTAGAAGACTCCACATCTCGCTTCTCCACGCAGCAGAGTGCACTCATGGCTGGAAGGACCAGGAAACAAAGGAACAGGTCCCCTACCTTTGTTATGAGCCTCTTGCGAGGAGGGATCACAGCGAAGTCCTGTTTCTTAATGCCAAAGCTATTTTTGTTCTTATATTAAGCACTTAATGAATAATCATTCAAAGACTTTATTCACATGACATCTACACAGCGCACGTCTCCCTGCTCCTCCTTTGGGAAACTCAGCTTCCCTTCAAGAATTAAACAAAATGTGGACCACATCCCAACACATATAAATTTTTTCTCCTCTACAGAACACATTGAAGCCCTCATCTCTCTCCCAAGCCTGTGATTTTCCACTCAAGAGCCATGCTGCCTTCTCCTCTCTGAGCAGCATTAGGAGCTGACCGCAAGGATCTGCAGTGGGATCCCTAATCTGCTGCTAAGAAGCTTTTGCACTTAAACCTTTGATGCCATCATTAGTGGTTTCGGCACTCGCGACGTCACAGCCAGACTGCGCTCGACGCTGGGATGATGAGGGCAAAGCTAAGCACATCAGGTACATGGTTAATTCAATGGGCAAAGATTAGGGGATGATACTATTTTTTTTTTCCCCAATAAGGCTTATTTACTATTAATTCCCATCCCTGTGACCTTATTTAAGTACAGCATGTTCCACCCGAGACTGTTTGTAAAGTTAACGCCCAAGTTGCATTGCCTCGAGGAGCCCTGTTCTCCCAGACCTCAGGTTTTATGGGGAAGGTTCTCCTTCTGCATCCATGCCTCTGGCAGCGCCAGAAACATCCTCTCTGGGGAAAAAAAACAGCAACAAAAGAAAAACCAACAAATCACTGTATTTGCAAGTCCAAAGGGACCTGGTGTCTAGGCTTTAATTGGAACACATATGGCTGAGCACAGGCAGTGGCTGGATTTTTCCTTTGATCACTGTAATGACTGGTATTTTTTCAAGAAGCATTCAATACAGCCTTCCTCTTCTGCTATTCATCCCTTCACGTGAATATTTATCAGAAATTATTAAACTGCCCTTTATTGCAAAGGTCTGTGTGACGGGGATGCTCTCCCCCAGCTCTGGTGCCTGTGGTGCCTGTGTCTCCACCACCACTGCAGATAAGCACTTCCAGACTACAATCCTCTAATCTATTTTAGCCATGATTCACATCTGAGCTGTGTGTCGCCCAAAGAAAGGCGAATCTGGACCGCTTGTGCGGAGGGAGGCAGCCACCACAGCCCACGGCACCACACGTTTCCCTGTTTTCCTTGGCTTTCTCGGGGCTGGTTTCCCCTTGCTCTCCCAGCGTGCAGCAGGAAGAGAACACATTTCTCTTCCTGCCTCCAGGATCCCTCAGACTAAGCCTGGCTTCTGAGCAGTAACACGGGCAGCTTCAACTTCCCTGACCTCAGCTAATTCTTTCCTTCCCTCAGCCTACTCAAGATGATTAAGCAAAATACTTGGAAGGAAATCAAAGCCTTAAAAATGCAATTAGAAGTGACCATTTTGTTAATACGCACACGCACAACCCCAAAGTCAAACCCAATCCAACAGCACCTGACCTTTGGGAAAAGAGCAATTTTTAGCAGCTCCCACGGACTTAAGGAACAGCCCAAAGTCTCCCACAACGCTGGTGGGAGCAGTGCTGTCCACATAGCTCAGATTTTTCCCACTATTCCTAAAACAGGAGGTTAGGAAGACATGAAATTGCAAATTCTCACACCAGACACTGGCTCCCCCAGACCTACAGCTGTCCAGGGGTGACTTAAAAATATCATTTTTAACACACATCCTTCCACACACCCAGATCTTTCTCCTCCAGCTGAGGAAAAGGCAAGTTCACCGGAGGGTCTGGAATCAGCTGCCACAAATCCTCATATTCTCCAGCAAAGATTCTAATCTCATTGCAAGAAACCTTTAAAGCACAGAAATAATAATAATCTCTTTAACAACAATAAAGTCATTTGACATCATCAAAATAGTTATCAAAGTAATAAAACAGAAACATTTTTCTAGGGCAATTTTCACTTCACCCATCCACAACATATTTTTAAGACTTCTTTCCTGAAATTAATTTGAAAAGAGATTTTTTTTTTCCTCTGCCTGTAAAGAATCAAATGCACTTTGAGAAAGCAGCAGTTGAGCTTCTGGGCCCTGACACAGGAACAAAGGCTGACAGCCCAGATTTAGATAAACACCTACTTCTGCACATTTAGGAAGAGGCTTAATTGCTTTGTCATTCAGAGCCAGCAATTACCAACTATTACTGGGAGTGCGGGTGGTGGGGGGTATTAATTGCAGTCAAATGTCCACTCTTCTTGGGCAGCTCATGCCAAGAAAATTAAATACTAAATAAAAAAAGATAAATTAAAACCTGTCTTCATTATAACATTTTAAAGTATTTTATTGTCTATTTATATTGGGGGGGGGGGGGGTGGATAGGTTCTCCCAGAGGGGCCAACAAAGACAGAATTTCTATTTCATTTTGAAACTGTGTCAAATCACAGCAGAGCTGGTATTAGGATGTTGGGGCAGGCTCCAAAATCGCCCTTTTGGGGGATTTTTGGGGCTGAATCCTCCAGCGAGGAAACCAGTGCTTAACTTCTAGAGCAAGCAGAGCATTTAAGGTTTAAAACAAATAAATAAACAACCTAAAATAGGTAAGAGGGTGGTTTTCCCCCCTCAGAGCCGGCTCTGACACAGGCACTGCTACTTTATTTCTCTGCGCTGTGTGAGGGGAAAACCTTCACGCAGGAGCGAGAACTGCTCCAGTGCTAAGGGGGGGGAGGGATTCTATATATGTTTTTTCATTTAAAAGGCTATTTTTTTTTTGTGGCAATGGCGGTGTTTATCCGCGGGGCCCGGGCGGCCCCGCCCCGGGGGCGGCGCGGCAGCCCCGGCCGGCTCCCGCCGGCTCAGACCGGTTCTCAGCGCAAACAACCGCCCCCCGCCCGCCGGGGCACCGCGGCGGCGAACCCCCGCTTATTCCTTCAGAAACACCCGCTTTCCTCCCCACAAAACACCCACCTCTCCCTCGGAAACACCCGCTCTCCCCACCCTCCCGAAAGAGCCGGGTGAGGCGACTCCGCGGCCGCGCCGCCATTACAGCGGCGGGCGCGCTCCGCCGGCTGAGGCGAGAGAAAGCGGCGGGGTTTCGGAGCGAGATAAAAATCTTATTATGCAACGCACATTTTTAATAGATTATTGCCGAGTCCAGGGCTGAGGTAATGCGGGCTGTCAGCAGCTGGGGCGAGAGGCTGAGGGACAAGCGGGCTGCGGCCGCTCCCTGCCCAGGGCGCCAAGGCACCATTTCTTCGCCATCCGTGAGGAGAACTTTGATATATCACGTTATTTTTTTTCCACAGAAGGATCTGTTTATGTGGTTACACATGCACAGGTACGTCTTTTTCGGCATATCTCAAGTATAAAGGTTTGCTTTTTGTATTATAATCTCTCCAAAGCCATCTGAAAACGTTCTGCCTGTGCTCAATCTCAAGAAACCCGATACAGTCCCAAGGGTAAAAAAAGCCACGTTTAAAGGATGGTCTCGGTTATATTTAGCTAAGCAGCAGCACAGGCTGACACGAGCAGAAACACAAGGAAGAACAAAGTGAAAACGCTCGACAGTTGTTAACAAAAATCTGCGAGTATCTAAGGTGGAATTTTTTTCCTAAATTTTCCTGTCCCTAATTCACATTTTGTCGCGCAGAGAGAACATTAAAGCAGCACATGGGTTTATGTGAACAAAAGGTAAGGATGAGGTGTTTCACCTGACTCTTGACAGGATTTACTGTTGCCTTTGTGTAATGGAAAAGGCTTCCTACTCTAAGAAATTCTTTAATTTTCTTTTATAAATCTTAACCTAATTATTCTCCCATACAAACACAAGCCTGCTCAACCCTGTCGTTCTACCAGAAGAGATTAAAAATTTTCAGCTCATCTCTACAGTACCAAATGTATGTGAAATTATTTAACCTCGACAAAATACATCTCACAGAGGTTTCAAAAAAGACTAAACAGCTACATTTAACCTCACTGTTCCTGATTTTTCATCTGTCCTCAGCACAGGCATCTCCAAACCCACTCAAAATCCCAAATCCCAGCTAAATCAGTGATTCATCACTTCTGGCAGCAAACGACACACAGGAAGGAGGAGATGAAGACAATGGTAGAGAAAGGTTTGCATTATGTAATGAAACTAAAACTCACTTTTTTCTACTTTCACTTCAGTTGTTGAAACAGGGTAGGAAAGTCCCTGACTAAATAAAATACACAGGAGGTTTCAGGGAGCCTGTTTTTCCCATGATTAAAATTCTCTTGGCAGTATTTTTCATCAGTTTATTTCAATATTAAGACACACACATATTCCATTCCAATGGTAATTCCTTGCTCCAGAAAGAATTTCATCACAGAAAAATCTAAAATTAAAACCAATCTCTAATTACCTTATGCCTTGCCTGCTTGTCACAAGAACTTTAAATACAGCTGTCAGAATTATAAAAAAAATTCCTTTTTCAAATATCTGTAAATGCAACTACTTCCCGTTTCTTGATTCCAGGAAGACTGGAATAACTGTGCTCACGTAGATCTTGGTGAATATAAAACCAGTGTTGTGTCTAAGCTGAAAATGCTCTTTTAATTTCCCAATATCTATTTCATATTACAAGCTATAGAGAAATAGTCATCTAAGTAATTATTCATCCAACTCCAGCATCCTGGAGATGAGACAACCAAATAAACACTCTTAAAAATAAATTAAAGGTGACTACATTACACATTATAGGAAATTATTCATTTAGCTGGTAAATCCCCCAGCATCCTCCACATCAGACAACTGAATAAACACTCTTAAAAAATAAATTAAAGGCCAAGGGAAACCTCAGGTCGCTTATCTGCAGATGGAACACATGGGGTGTTCACGCTTTCACAGCCTGAACATCACCTACAGGAAATCAAACACTTCTGCCTGGGTTTTTGTAAATGAATTCAAACCCCATCCCAACAAGGATTTTAGGAGCGAAACGCTCTGCTCTCATCGCCGGGTGGTTCAGCACACTGCTGCAGCAAAGCTTGAGGAATAATCACTAACACATGGAGCAGCAAGAGATGTGTCAGGCCATCTGATATTACAAAACTGAATCAAAAAGCCCAGAAATTATTTTTAGCACATTAGAGCACCTCAACAAGCGGCCTAGAAAAGAGCTTTTGCTACCAAAAAGAAAAAACCAAGCTAAAAGCAGGGGGGTGTTTCCATGAGGCTGGGCAGGGCACAAACAAAATCTTGTTTGCTTCCTATGGGATCACCCAGCTTCCATCCAGAGCCAGCTTCTTCCATGACACACTACAGAAAATATGTTTGCTAATGTATCATTTGTGGTGTGTGTCTGAATCACCAGAACGGAGACAATGAAGTTTCTGGTTGTGGCAAATTATCATTTTCAAGGGCTTTTTTATTCTTTCAAGGTGATAAAAAAATTCCACCAACCCTTTTCCACTACATGGGTGGGGAATGAGCAATCTTACACTAAGAAGATTTCAAAACACAAATTCCTCCTCAAATCCATGCAGGAACCATCCACATCCACCAGCTTCCTCACCTCAGCAGACAACTTCTGAGAGGCCACAAAACACCCCAAATAAAGCCTGGCTTCAGACAATACTGGTTATTTTTAATGTGTTCTTTCTGGTTTTAGTTTCTAAATTACTCCCTTGCAGCACCATTACTTGCAAAGGCCTCCAAATAGCAATTTAAAGTAAAGTTTAGTGGAGATCCAACACAACAAACTCTGAACCTTGACGAGATAAAGGCTTTTTGGGGTTGTTTTTTTTTTTTTTTTTTTAAGCAAGCAATGTTTCTTCAGTATTGTCCAGGAAAACCAGCTCCATTTAATCAGCGTTATTATCTTCACACAGGTCTTGAAAACCACAAGCAAGGAAAACCAAACTTCTCCTTCACCACCTTTCTGCTTTTTCACAGCTCCTGAAGGACAGTGCCCAGCATGAAGTTCCCACCAGTGCTGAACACGCACCGTGTGCCCCAAACACCCCCAGGGAACACAACTCTGCCACTGAGACCAACAGGACAAGACTGGAGTGACCAAGTTCTTAAATGTCAGAAGAATGCAGTGTCATAGAGACCTTAATAATACTATGGCCCCTCAAAATTGGCCATTTCCACTTAGAAGAAAGCCTAAAGAGAATCTCCAGCTAGCTAAAATCCTCAAGACCACGGAAACTACCGGCAATAATTATTCCCAGACAAAAGAAACTGGATATATCACACAGCAAGTGGGAGCACCGAACCAGGGAAAAGGGGATGAGGCAGCTTTTGCTCACCAACAGTGTATGAGTGGCTTAATATTTACATGGCTAAATTTCAACTGTTTTGAAAATTAAACACTTGTGCTTTGAAAGACTTCAAGGCCAGGTGGGGTTTTGCTTCCCAAAGGAAAGCGAGGGTTAAATGTTTGTTACTATCTAACTGATCGCTAAGAAACACGTAACTCTTTTCTGATCCTTCAAAATTAAATATACAATCCACCAGATTCCATTACTTGCTCGACTGAGTTTGATTTTATTGTATTAATAAGAAAAAAATGTTTTATTTCCTCTCAGAGTATCGTCTACTTTTCCATTACTACAACTAGAAATTGCCAAGAAAATGAAATGCTCAAGCACAGCAGACACTGCTTTTCTTCTCATTAAATCTTAAAACTTGGTTCCAGTGGGATCATATTTAGTCCTCTCAAATTCAGAACAGGATTTCATCCTGCCTCGACATCCCAACAATGACATTTTATAAATATTACGAGTTTCTTGGACGCCTTTCTCATTCCACAAGGAGCAGAGAAGCACCAGTAGAGATTTTTTCTTCTTCCCCTGCTCGAGATTTTTTTATTAAACCTTAAATGTAACCAGCCCTCCTTTCAATCCATTTTCTCTAGGATTTTTTTGAGACCTCTAGAAGTCTCACAGATTTTTCTCAGCTGTAATAAGTGTGAAAAATCTTTGACAAAGGATTGTCTTTATTCAAGCATTAAGCTCTCACTGAAAGAGGTGTTGGAAATAAACAAGTGCTTAAAAGCAGCCTAAAAGTTGTCTTAAATCTTCACCTGCTCTCCAGCTGAGACAGGACCTGGATTTCTAAATCCAAGAGGAGAAAACAATAATTAAAAGAAGTAAATAAATCCTTGCATGACTCTTTAGACATGAGGGGGTGGGGCAATCAGAAGAGGAGACACTGATTTCCTCATCTTCTGTACACTCTCCGTGGGTGTCAGCCCATCTCACCCTTCCAGAAGGTTCAACGTTCAAGGTAAGACTTTGTGAGAATAATCCCCTTGGTCACAGAGTTCTGACAGTGGTAAAATTCCATTCACAGTGATAAACCCAGAATCCTAGAACAGGTTGGGAGGGACCTTAAAGTTCACCAAATTCCACCCCCTGCCATGGGCAGGGACACCTTCCACTGTCCCAGGCTGCTCCAAGCCCTGTCCAGCCTGGCCTAGGACAGTGCCAGGGATCCAGGGACAGCCACAGCTGCTCTGGGCACCCTGTGCCAGGGCCTGCCCACCTTCCACAGGGAGGAATTCCTTCCCCATATCCCAGCTACCCCTGCCCTCTGGCAGTGGGAAGCCATTCCCCCTTGTCCTGGCACTCCAGGCCTTTGTGAAATCAAACACTCTACCGATACACTTATTTACTCAATGAGTATTTTCAGTTTTAGAAAAGACCTGGCATGCAAAGGAAACGCCGCCAACTCTGCAAACCCTCCTGAAGAGCAGAGCCCTTCGCCAAAGAGCATGAAACATTAATGGATGCAACCATAGTTTTGTGGCTTCCACTCTTAGGGTGAATTCACTCTTAAAAGGCCAAATGTCAGAGAGGCACTTCAACATGAATTTTAAAATTATTAAAATAAATCAGTGATTTTCTAACACCTTCTTTTCTCTCCCACAGGTATTTTGTAAAGCCAAGCAAACACAGAGCTATTGCAGAACCAAGGAAACGCATCCCCAGGAATTGCAAACTTGGATTATTTTCTTTTAATTCTTCCAAGTCTACAAATTTTGCTGTGAGGCAGCAGGGCGAGAAATGAGAAGGCGATAAATCAACCTTGTGAATGTCAGGCAGTGTCAGGGAGCAAGAAGAAACAGAGCAATACCACTCATCATTTCCCAAAGTACGTTGAAGTGTCGTCTGTAAAAAGCAGCTGACCTTAAAATCTTTTTCTCTCACTGGAGCAAATAAGTGACCCCATTCTCCAGGCACACAGGCAGCAAGGCCTTGTGTCCGTACATCCCTGCTCTGCGCAGCCACCATCTTACACATGCTGCATGGATCCACCATGGGAAACAAGGAACAGCACCAGCGTTCCCCTCAGAACCCCTGGTGCCAACTGAGCCTTGTGACATTTCACTGCAGCTCGCTCTACCTCAGCGACCGAAGCTTCGCCAGGGAACAACTCCTCAGGCTCACACCTCATGAAACGACCCGCACGGCCCCCGGCACAGAGACCTACCTGTCGCTGCTGGTACTGCTGCTGCTGCTGAGGGAGTCGCTGCTGGAGGATCTGCTCCGGGAGCCGCTGCCGCTGGGGGAGCGGGCGGGCCGGGCGGCCTGGCTGGCCAGGCGCTGCGGGGACTGCGTCCTGGACTGCGACGAGTGCGGCGAGCGGCTCCGGCTGTGCTGGTAGTTCCGCTCCGGCCTTCTGCCTCGTACCTCCCGTGTAATGTCATCCCTGTAGATATCCCTGTGTACCACACTGGGCAATGTAAACTGCTCCCGGGCCCTAGGTTCGTATCGGGGGTCGTGAGCGTCAAAGCGGTTTGGACTTCGGCTCCGAGAAGTGTAATAGAGCCCGTGTTGTAAGGTCCGCTCCCGAGGGTCTCTATAGTAATCCTGATCGTAATGTCTCGTCCGATCAAATCCGCCCGTCCCCCGCTCATGGTGTCCATAGGCACTATGTTCATAAGCACGCTCCCTGTTATCTGAAGCCCTGCATTTGGGAAGGGGGAAAAATATTGCATCAGAAAGGGGCAGGCACAACCAAAAGCAAATCATGCAAACATTCATGGCAGCACTCGACTTATTGTTGCGACTGCTTCTCCACTAACCAGCAATAACCTATCAAGCAAACAATGACAAACTTCAAAACATTTTACTTGACTCCAAAGTTATATTTGTATACGATTAAGCTGAGCAATCATTTTGGTTTAATCACAATGTGGGGCTTTCATGACCAGCAACTTGCCTGCACAGGAAAAAAATTTCTGCTTTCCCATGCAGAATCCTCATTTCAACTGTTCCTTTTTCTTTTAAATTCTGTAAACAAGAAAAACTTCATGTTTGTGGACATCATCAACTTCTTTTTCTCTCCATTTTTGCTTAAGAGCTTTAAAAATTTTTTTTTCAAAATTTGGTAATTACTGGAGCTCTTGTAAATATCCTTCTGCAAAAATGGCATCACAAATTGGGCTGTAGCCATGAAAGCCTCCATGCAAAGCATGACCCGAGGTAAGAAGCTGCTTTCAAAAGGGGTGGCATAACCCATAGAGATTTCCCAGAAAATTAGGGGGTTTCTTGCTGCTGCTCTAAGAGATTTCACCCTCTTAGAGGGAATTTTTGCTTTGACCAGATTGCTACAATCATTCATTGTAAAAGTTATGGATGCTAAAGAAACGTCTCCATTACTAATGCTGGAACTGCAAGGATGCAGGTCCCCAGAACATACTAAGACCCTACACAAGGACTGGAAATCCAATTTTTAGGCAGTGTTTTTGCTTGGACTGCTGCAATCATGGAATTTCTATCTGCACAAGCTGCTGCTTTCCAGCAGCCACAGTCCAGTTCATTTCAGTGTTTTGAACATTTTAAATTGACAAAGGCTCAGTAATGTTCTGAGTTAGTGTGATCTCTCAAATAAAGAGATTGACAGATAAAGGAACACTACAAATAGTTGAGAATTCCAATTTAGACAAGTACCAGGATGGTACATCTTAGTTACATCTTACAAAATGGAAGCTTCAGAATTGTTACTTTGAACATTTAAAAAATACTTCTAAAATTCTAAACATGTCAGAGTAGCCAAAATTAATTTAAAAATTAATTATCCATCTTACAAATGACACTTCAACCTTTTTTTCAGCCTTCTCTCTCAGATTCTTCCTTTAGAATCTGTTATGAGTCACTTCAGTCCCCTGAATCCTGATAACCCAATTCTGCCTTGTGCTGCCTCCTCCTCTCCTGCATCACAGCTCTAGTTCGAATGGCAGAAATATTTCAGGGATCTTTTATAAACTGCAAATGAGATTTGAATCTTTTTTGATTAGCATCTCAGGAAGTTCCTTCCATTCCTTCTCCAATGAATCACTAGATCCTTAATCCTCTCAATATATTCACTCTCTGTTGTTAAACTGTAACTCATATCAAGCTTTCTATAGGGCTCCCTCACATCTTGCCTCCATTTTTTTCTCTCAAATGATATATAAAAAATTATTTCACCAGTGCAAGAGAATGTCATTATCTTCTACATCTGCTTGAAATTCATTGTTGCGTTTCTATTTCCATTACCTCTTGCTCGCAACAATGGAATTTTGAAAGCTATTTCAGAATCTGGCACAGAAATGTCTCTGTTTTGGTTCTTTTTTCCCCCTTTTGAAGGACCAAGATCAACAATTTTACAAACGATTGCATTTAGCATCCTACAAAGTGTTAATCAGTGAGAGCTGATTTAATGAGGTCAGAGAAAAAGCAGTATTTTCTAGCAGGTTACTGCTACAGAGCTGACAGAAAGAACAAATCCTTATCCGTGAGAAGGACACAGAAGACAGACAGAGGAAGCAGAGCTGAACAGCTACTGGCTACAGTGCTTTCTTCATTTATCTATTAGTACTAAGTGCTACTGGAGTTAGTGGAAAGAGAGGGTTTGACTTGGGTTAGGAGAGGGGCTAATATACACAGGGCAGGACATACCAACCTTTTCCAAGTGTGGAAACACGACCTATATTCCCAATTAAATCTAGGGAGAGAATTGTGAACATAACTTCCCCAATTTTGGCCCCTCTTACAGGGGTAATCCACCTTCTTAATGGGCAAGGGTGTCAAATGATATTTTAGATGAACCAACAAGAAAAAAAAAAATCTTAGTGACAAGACACAAAAAAAAAATTCCACTGGACGGAAGTAGTCCCAGACTGAAACTGTAACTCTGAAACCCCCAGACTTCTTTCTTGAGACAGAAGGCACTTAAATAGATCCATAATTTTAATTTCCAGCCCTAAGTCTGAATCAAGCAGCTGGTAGAAGATCCCCCGAGGCCCGAGGGCCCTCACGCTGCTGCCAGCAGGCATCCTCTGGCCGCCTTGGTAACCATCCAGCCCAGTCACTTCTCACTGGAGTATCCACAAACGGGTATTAGCACCACGTCCTTAAAGCTAAAGTATGTTTAATGTGGAGCAGCAGAGCTTTTTAAGAGACTAGATAGTAATCCACTCCCCATGGCTACTGGCGTCTTGACTGTATACCATCCAATAAATTCAAGGCAGTAGTTCTTATCCCAGCTTTAAAAAAAATAAACTATAATTTCCAAAATTTAGTAATGTCCGTCATCACTTTTTGCCAATACCATCAGAAAGAATAATCCCAATAACTTGGAAATGATGTAGATCCAAAATGGAACCATCACAAGCTGCCTTCGGTCTTCTCCATCCAAGCGTTATTTCCATGGCTAAGAGTTGTCGGTAGAATCCAAGGGGCCGCATCATTAAAGTCTACTCTGAATTTTGTGGTGACAATCCAATTAACATACCCGCTGCGTATAGTGAGAACTGAGAGCTAGGCATCAAGCTTTCACCGAATTCTAGGTTCTAGTATTCCGAAGATACTCCACAGAGAACTTCACCACAAGTTGTAGAGTAAGATAGCTCCATCTGGCAGCAGGGATACATCCAGCAAGGCCTTAATATTATCCAAGAAATGGGATCGCTACTTCTAGAAAAGAGTAACTCCAATATCGATGCTGGCCAAAGGAAATCTTCCATCTTAAAACCACCTTATTTCAAGTGTAGGTAGATATCCAACCAGCTGCAGGACACATCCTCTATGGATCCACAAGGTACCAGCCACTGGGATAGAAATCACTTCCGTTTCCAACCCAAAATAGGAAACATAGATAATTCCCAAAATTTTAAATCCATCTGGGGGCCCTAGATACGAGTTTGTGTTTCTCACCATATCAAATACAAAATACCTGCCTAGAGAAACCTTGGAACTTACCCATCAAGTCTCCGCTCATAACGTCCTTCCCGTGCATGAAGTGATGGTGGGGGGCCATAAGTGGGCCCTCCACCACCTCCTCTGAACCCAGAAACCTCTCTACTACGAGATGCTATGGAAACTGTATCATCCAATCCCCGCGCAGCACTGGGAATGGTTCCTGGCTCATTATAATCCGTCCGTAGGTCTCTATCTCCCATTTTGTTGACAGAGTTGTGTGCCTTCTGGGCACTTTTAATGTCCACAAAATCCACAAACGCTGCCACTCCGCCTTCCGACCCCCTCTTAGGGAGGATTTTGACACTTTCGACACGTCCATATCTGGAAGAGAAGCAAAGCAGAGCACACACGTTAGTGCTGGTGGGAAGAGACCACGTTTAATAACACTGCCTTCTGAAAAACCAACATCCAACCCTTCACCCTTCCCCTCTGCCAGAAAAATCAATCACTGGGAGACACCAAGAGAGGAAAAGCCATTTGGAGAGGGGGAAAAGCCATTTAAACTTTCCATGGTTACATTTAAACTCCTTTCTGGAAGTGTGGGAAGCCTACCATGGGATCACCCTTTTTATAGCAACAGAGCAGCAGCAGCTGAAGAAATAGAAAGGTGTTCACAACCAGAGCACCCTGCACATCATTAGTCTGACACAATTAAAGAGGCACAATTAAAACAAAACCGTGTCACGAGGAAAAATACAGACAGCCAACAATTTTCTTAGGAGACAAATGACCTTGACACAGCAATTCCACTACTTCAATCTGTATTTAACCCAGAGTCTCCACTGTGATCCTCGCTCCTGATCCCAAACCTGTTTACTTCCACACCTGGCAGGACACACGGACCCCCAGACCCAGGTGCTGCTGGGGTTCAGCCTCCCACCCCCACTGCAGACCCAGCTGCCCAACAGGAGCTGAGAAATGCCAGAGGGAATGTGACACCACCCTACGTAATGTATGTTAAGTAACTGCAACACTGGCACTTATGGATGAGTAAATGTCTATGCAAAATAAAAATAAACCCAAACATGTTTGTGTACACAAGGAAACAAGATGTAGAAACATATTTAAATAACTTGCATCCACTCACAGTAGAAAGGACAAGCTGGGCGGGATGAGCACAGTGACATTTTAACAGCCAACAACTGCAGGGTTTGGGTGCTCGGTTCTCTCTGCCAGAAGATTCTGAGCAAACCAGGGAAAAGCTCTGAATTGCAGCTGGTAATCCAGGACAAGAAA